CCAGTGCAGGTTGATGTCTTCGTGCGTGATGAGTGCATCAGCAAGAAGCACACTTCCCTTTCTCTGGTAGGCCAGCTCGGCGCGTGGTCTAGGATTTTTCAGAATTAGGCGTCCTCGTGCAGACTCTACGTGATGGGATCTGCAATATAAGGACCTTAATAAGTAGACTGTGGTTCCTTCGGGCTCCTTAATTAGACTTATCGTACAATATACCCCCAAACCCTAGTCTAATTATTCACGTCCATATGTTATTCTAGGGAGTCTTCATCTGGGAGCCTCCTGAAATTGGCAGAATTTCAATTTTCCCATAACCCCGACCCCGACTCTAACGACCAGAAGAACCACGGGACGAAAGCCATATCAACCCCGACCCAAACCTCGAAGATAACAGCAGGCCCTATAGTAAACCCTAAACCCTACACCCTAAACCCTAAACCCCTACACCCCTAAACCCCTATATAAACCCTACACCCTAAACCCTAAACCCGTAGCAATTTTGGCTCAAGCGACCCGCAAACTATTCCATTGTTTGTCCTGTTTCACGATGGTTCGTTTGACGACTAAGCAGAGGAAGTCACTCAAGCGCGGCAATGTCGCTGCAAAGCTCAGGCAGTACAAAACACAAGACCGCAGGAACGCCGCGCGTAAAGCAGCTAAGTCTGACAAACTTGTTGGGGTTAAACAAGGAGTTGGAGCAGCACCACGGAAAGCATTTGGATCAACAAGGCGCAATTTGTCCCGTTGCTTTGACGCATTTGACCCCTGTCACTTGCCCCTGCCACGTGCAGTTGGTGCTTATACCGTTATCCGCACTACCGTTGTTGTCTCCAGTAATGATCCCCTGTTCATTTTTGGGACAATGATGAAGTCAGACACAGTCGGACAGTTACAAGCACGTGAGTGGTCTCAATTGATTGGTTATTCCATGCCTGTGTTGGGCGCCAATATCACAGACACAAATGCTGTTGCCAAGCATCCACTGTCTGCGTCTGCCGGGTTAATCAACGCCACACTCGCACCTTCAGCGTTTTCTGCACAAGTCATGAACCCGAATGCATTGCAAACGACAAGCGGCATTCTCTACGGTGGACGTTTCCACACTGTGCCAGAGTTCGATTTTGGTTCTAGCATTACCGGGGAGGAGTTCGCGAGCAATTTCGTGAGCTACAATTCACCACGACTTATGTCTGCAGGTAAGTTGGCTTTACGGGGGGTGTCTATCGATGCCATTCCATTCAATATGAGCAAGCTCTCTGACTTCTGCCGGCTGAGTACTGATGCAAGCGGAGCTACAACCCTAAGCAATGACTCTCCATTCTTTGATGGCTTTGCTCCTCTCGTAGTCTACAACCCCTCTGGAGTGACAATTGAATACCTTGTCTGTGTTGAATGGCGGTGCAGATTTGATGCAACAAACCCTGCACAGGCAGGACATGTTATGCACCGTCCAAGCACAGACAACCAATGGCATGCGGCCATAGATCATGCGATGAAGATTGGAAACGGCGTCAAAGACATTGCTGAGTCTGTTGCAGCCGTAGGTTCCATTGTCCGCAATGCCTTTGTGGATAGTCCGCATTTTGTGGACCTCACAAAGCGACCCACATTTTTCAAGTCTGTTGCTAGTCGTCGCAGTCATGTCCTCTCCTTACTCTCTTGACCTGTTTTTGCGCTATCGTCGGCGATCTGATCAGGTCACTCTCGATCTTTCCGCCAGCGGTGTCAATTTGAGACAGCAGATTTTCCATTTGAGCCCGTCCAGGACGATCGCAAGAAGATAGGATGAAGTCCTAGCACACGCCATGGGGTACAAGGGCAATAGGAAATACCACGTGTTCGCCAAAGAGCAAATAGACGCAGAGATGGAAGGAATGTTCCACCTTTCACAATTCAAGTCAAAGAAGTGGACACATGAACGCTTCGAGAACACATTCAATCAACTCTTGCGTCAAGTCGACCCCAAATACAGAACAAAAGCGAAGATCAAGCTCGAACCAATGGGGACTAAACCTGACGGATCTGCAAAACCGCCCCGCTTGCTTATTGCTGATGGAGACCACGGACAGATCATGTCATTGCTCACGATTAGCATCTTCGAACGGCTGCTCTTTAAGAAATTCCACAACCGAAGCATCAAGGGAAGATCCAGGCGGAAAGCCTTGCAGGATGTTGTGTCCTACCTCAGACCACCAAAGAAGTATGTTGGATCCACTCTACGTGGTCCCGTCGCTCCTATGGTTGAGGGTGATGGATCGGCATGGGACTCATGCTGCTCGAAACGTCTCCGTGACTTAGTAGAGAATCCCGTGCTGAAGCATATTGCCACACATCTGCTTGAATACTTTGTGGTTCCCCCTCAGTGGGAAAAAGAGCATGCCAACATGAACACATCCGACCGGTACTTCTTGGAGTTCAAGGAAAAGCTGATCACTTATTTCGTGCAGCTTAAGGGCATACGCCGGTCAGGCCATCGAGGCACGTCGTGCCTAAACTGATGGATCAATCTCGTCATGTGGATTTGCTCGGTGTCTAGTAACCCATGGGTTTTGTTGTATGAAAAACAAGACACGTGCAAGGGAACTGACGGTCACAACTTGTGGATACGCCTTGTTTTGGAAGGTGACGACTCTCTTGCTCGTATATGTCGCGCACTCGGTAGTCGTGAAGAGGACCCTCGCACAGAGTACTTTCTTTCATTTTGGCGCCGCCTCGGTGTTGACATGAAAATACGCAGATGTGGGCTGCAGCCTGACAACAAACCATATTCGGAGTTCATTGGCACGCACTTCTTGCTTGACGAGCAGCTTGATCTGGAAGGCACTTTTGTGCCCGACTTGGTGAGGAATCTGAGCAACAACAGCTCCACAACACCAGGTACATTGCAAGCATTTGAGCAAGGCAAATTTCACACCATCCGGCAGACTTCGGCTGCAGCTGCATTGTCCAGTGCACTTGATTACGCGGGCATACTCCCTCTACTGTCGATGAAGTATCTCCAGTATGCCAATCAGTGTTATGCCAGCGATTTTCACAATGATGACCTCTCCTTTTTGGCCTCCGGGGAGGTGGGGACTTCTTCCCACTCTGTCATACAGATCATCAACCGTTTGAATTGTGAGGTAGACATCGTCAAACCAGATCAAAAGAGCGCTGAGGACCACACCCACTCGGCGACGATTGTCTTAAATGGCAAACCAGAGAGCTGTGATTATGAGGTTGTATCAAAGATGCATGGTATCACCCCTTCGTGTACGGCGCATTCATGCCGAGCAGCCAGTATGACGCTGTGCTGCACGGGCTGACACACTCAGAATCCTGAAGCGGGGTTATGTTTCACGCACGCGTCTTCTTTTCTGAACGTCAGTGTACAGAAGTCGGGGGCTTTGTCTGATAACGGCAAAGTTGAGATGACACAGGAGGCATCGGGCTGTCCTTGCGGCAGCGGTCGCTGACTCGGCGACGTGGGAATTATGTCTCGCACCGTGACCGTCTAGGTGTTTCGGGGGATGACCCCGACTGCTAAGGCTTATTCTTCTACACTCTGATCCTCACAGAGTGGCGAGCCTGCTGCCCACACCCACATGGGCTGAGGTGAGGCCAACTACCTTACAGCATATTGCTCTCGTATGTGGCATCTGTTGGGGGGTGTAAGTAGGGTAGCCCGCGAGGTCCACCAGACGGTTATTCGGCGATACACGTCGGCACTGGTTGCATGCTCGCGAGGGCATGTAGTTGGTTAGTGGACCCGGTGGGAATGGCGCGGGAGGGAGTCTTCCTACCTTTGGAAGTTTTGCACTCTTGGCACCGTTCCTGGTGAAGGGAGCTCTACATGATTCAAATGTTCGATGAGGAAACTCTGACTGGTGTTCCTCCTTCCCAGCTACCCGACAATTCACACTTGAGGCGGACGCAGGTAGGAACGGCAGCTCGTCGGCGAGGTCTTCGAGCACGTCCACCACCTCTTCTTGCACATGCTGTCCGTCGTCGTCGCTCCGCACCACGTCGTCGCCGAACTCGAGTGCCGTCTGAAGTTCGTCATCGTGAGCGGAGCCGAAGCCGTGATGTCGGGTCTACAGCCTGACTGGAACAGAAAGTAAGATCGCCAGTTGTCTGATGTGTGTGACTTTTGGAGTGAAAGTTTGAGGTTATGTGCATGCTCGCTGAGAAGGCCTTAGTCTGACTGCTAGCAGGAGGAAAAGGGCCACTGCATGTAAAGAAACCCATATAACGGCCGGCGTCGGAACCCGGTGTAGATGTTTCCTGCACGCAACGAGTTGCCCAGTGCGACTCAGTGTCTGGAATATCGAATCAGAATGGACTAGGGTTTAGGGTTAAGGCTTCGGGCAGATGAAGAACCATTGCAGACGGTCTACTTCATGAACTGTAAACGAATGAAAACAGACTTGCAAAAGTCGTTGACAAGCGTTGCTCCAGCTTCCCCCTTAGCGCTGTGGTGCCTTTTCGGCCAACTGTTGTTGGGATTGGGTTTGTCAAGGCTTTACGTTAGAAGTAGAAGAAACGGGAATACACGAATGATCATTGTTTTGTTGCGACACTAGGTTTCAGATGCTTCTTGGTGAATTTCGGAGCTTAAGTTAAATCATGAGAAGCGACGAAATCAGTATCGAATGCCTGCTCTGCTATTCGATATTACCCGGAACCGTATTCATGATAGCAAATTTCTCTCAGATGGTAGGAAGACCTTTTCTGTTTCATTGGGATAGGGGTTCCTTAACTCGGATTGGAGACTGGTGCTACACATGTGTCTGTTGCCCTTAACCCCAAGCCCTGGCTGTATTTGTCTATATACGGTTATCGGTATTTTTCGTGGGTCGGGTCATGCACTTCGACGCGTGCTGATCTTGCAAGGCATCCATGGGGAAGTCGCACTGTCTGTTCTGGTGGCAGCCTGAGAGCCTGAGAGATGCAAACTCGAGCATTGCAACCACATACTGCAAATCAGGCTGGATGAGTTTGTGGTGGTATGAGTAGTGGGGCTTTTAAGGGCTTCCAACATGGAATTGCGACGTCGGGTTGGCACAGTGGCAGCGCGCAGCAAAAGTCCTGTAACACACTACAACATGCCTCGCAAGCATAGAGTTATAAAAACCCCCAGTCCTATGAGTCGTACACATCTTGTCATTTTGGTTGGCATTGGTCGCCTTTGTTGTTAATTCGCTGCCTGCGGTTATGCATGCATGTCCCTCTCTGTTTTTACACTTACAAATGTGTTTGTATGTGTATGTGTATATCTACAATCATATATACATGTACTTATATATATATATATGCTTGTATATCATGTCCCGCCAGTTCGCTTCCCACCCAGTTGCGCCGAAGGACCATTCCACGAATGGCAGTTTCTTGAATGGGCAGAGGCAGTCTTCCACTGCAGTGGTGGTTCACATAGACCTAGGCCGTGAGCCAGAATCACCAGCTGCGGGTTTACGGCTCACGCGACGCTTGCGCTTGCGATTGTTAGAATGCAATTGATACGACTGCTGTTCCTACTTAGAACTACTTTGCATCCGTGCAGGGCTTTTCATTACCACCACAACTAAGTCAGTAATTACTGACACTGCTACGACGATGACTGCTACTGCTGCTAGTTCTGCTACTACTACTACTACTACTGCTACTACTACTACTACTACTACTACTACTGATACTACCACTACTACTACTACTACTACTACTTCCACTGCCGGTGCCATTGCACTACTACTGCTGCTGCTGCTGCTGCCACAACTATTAAGATTAGTGCGGCGGCCCTTTTAGACTGGTGGGCCTCCATAATGCTTTTTTTCTGGGCTTAATCAGACTGGTTCCAAACATTGAGGCGGTCTCTTTAATGCGTTGGTCTTTTGGCGGGTGGATTTTGTGTTGTGTTGCTTCCTTTCCGGTCTTAAGGCAGCCACTATTTGCTTCCCTGAAGCCCGAAGCTCTCCCGAAATCCTACACCCCCTTTTACCCACCCTATTGTACTGTTACTGTACTATCACTGTACGACTGTACTACTACTGTACTGTTATTGTACTACTGTACTGTTACTATATATACTACTGTACTTATACTGTACTCCTACTGTACTACTTCTTTGCTACTACTACTACTACTACTACGACTACTACTACGACTACTACTACGACTACTACTGTACTACTGCTGTACTATGACTGTACGACCGGACAGTACCAGGCCTCAGACTTGGTCGATTGTGGGGGGGATTGTAGGCAGGAGGCACAAGTCTTCAAAATGAACGGTTTTTGGTCTTGGTAGTTCTCTTGGAGTGATTGGGGCTTCGTTTCGATTCGAGCTTTGCGTCATCCTCAAACCCCGCTACACACCTCTGGGTACTCCTAAACCCTCGTGCTATTACTGCTGTATTACTGCTGTACTAACTACTGTAATTACTGTAGTACTACTACTGTACTAATGCACTACGTACTGATGCACTACTGCACTATTACTGTACTACTACTGTACTGCTACTGAACTACTTTTGTATTGCTGTACCATCGCTGTACTACTACTGTACACTGTCCAGTACCAGGCCTCAGACTTGGTCGATTGTGGAGGGAATGTAGGTTGGAGAAACAAGTCTTCAAAATCATAGGATTTTAGTTTTGGTAGTTATCTTGAGTGATCGTGGCTTGGTTTCGGGCATTTGGGGATCCCCAAACTCCCCGACCCGGGCATTCGTGGAAAGCCGCACACCCGCAAACCCTCCATTCAAGCCCTCCGCAAAGTCCTGGAACCCCTCAAGCAGGTCTCGGGTAACATATTAATCAGGCCGCTCGGAAAAATGGTCGGGGGAGAAGGGTTTGAGGGGGGGGGGGCGGCTGACTACACGGGCCGCCACATTATGACGACGACGGCTACTGCTACTAGTACGATGGATACACTTTGGCTTTCACTCTTGGTTTTGGCTCTTACTTCCGTCACCACTACTACTCCGAATCCAATTACAATTGCTACTGATATTGCTCGGGCCATTGCTGTGACTATGGCTTTTGTTGTTGCTGCCACTACAATTAATCTGTATTATTTGTATTCGTACTAGTACCATTGCTATCACGCTCATTACCAAGCTTGCTATGTCGATGCTTGTCGCATTGGCTATTGCTATCAGCTGTACCAATACAGTACCACTACTACTGCTATTTCTAGTGTGAATACTGGTGCTGGCACCGCTGCTAACCATGCCAAACATAATCATGATAACCCTTCTTGTCGTGCAGGTGTCGGTGCCATCGTGGTCGCTCCGACATTTCTACTGTCATTAGTGTGCCTGATCGCAAGAGAGTTCGAGAGGTGTGGACAGCCTTTCGCAGGTTGCCAGCAAAAGACAAGAAGTACCGGATCAGGAACGGCGACAAGTTGACGTTGAAGGCGTGCATGTTTGCTGCTTCCGGTATTTTGACTTGTTTTGAACTTTCTGTTGTTCTGTCCGGGGGTTGGGGCCATGCCGGTAGCCCTGGAGCCTTCAGCCCTCCAACTTAGCTACAGGACCTTGGGCCTAGGGTTTAGGCTTGGGGCTTAAAGGGTTTTGGGCCCAGGCAACTCGGATTTGCAGATCAATATTAGGTTGAGGACTTTCGTTTTGCAATTCCCTGGACTTGAAAGAGGATTCCTGAAAGGTCCAGTAGAAACACAGGCACAGCAATGAATAAGACTTTCTTCTATCTTGTCGGCTGCTGCAAATTATTTTGTACCGTAGGTCCTAAAGTCCTATAACCGATGACTCATCCCCTTAATTTCTTCGAATGCTTCATGAAAGTCGTAGCGCATGCGGCATTGCGCTGTTTCTTCGTCACGGTCGCTCGGAAAGCACGGACTTTCCCGTCAAGTGGAGTGCAGCTTAGAGACTGCAGTATGTACTTTTCGGGCGTTGGTCAGGGTGTCGGGGTTGCTTCCCGGCCAGGTTTAGAAGTAGATGGTAGGTGCGGCTTAGAGTTTCGAATTTGGGGTCATTCCATGTGGCGTCCTGCGCAGTCTGCATCCAAAACCGCAAAACACCAAATGCATCCCAATCTTAGGTCCCTAAACCTAGACCGTAAACCCTAAACCCTAAACCCAAGCTTAGGTAAACCCTGCCGTCCCTTGGCAGGCTTCGGACATTGAGGAAGACTACGGCTGGAAGGTTCCGCTGGCTGAGGATTGCCACCTT